GGTGGGGACAGAAGAGACGATCATGAGGGGTCGGAGGGCAACGGCGGAGGCAGGGGGGGAGGCGGTGGCTCGGACGTGGATTTAGATAAGTCAGACGACGACGGGGACGGGGACGGGGAAGACGACAGGTAGGGAGTAGTAGGAGCAGGAGGCGAGGTAGTAGGAACGGAGGACAGACAGACGCAGCAGAGCGAGCGAGCGAGCGAGGAGGAGATATGACAGCGTGACATATGTGCAGGCTTGGTGGGGACGTGGGGTTTGATTGTGCCCAGGTTGATTTGTGCCCTTTTTGTATTTGTATTTTGGCTCCATTACGTGGGTGAGACCTTTTTTCGAAAAGAAAGAAATGGCGTAATGAAATGAGAGGTGCGGGGTGGCGAGCCCCCACCGACGGTGCATATTACAGCAGTGGATGGGTGTACAGAGGGGTGGGGGGGGGATGAAGCATTGGGGTATGTGATTGTGGGACATGGTGATAACGACGAGGGGGAAGTTGTGCGGTGTGGTGGTGAGCAGTGCAGGTAATCGGCGTGGGAGGCCGTGTTCATCGTCATTTGTTTTTGGGGCGTTGTCTCTTTTTTGGGATTGGTTTGACTTTTGTATATAGAGTTGCTGTTCGCAGCTTGTTGTTGTGGTCGGTTTCTTGCTACTTGTATTGCATTAGATGTAATAGGGCTTTTGGAGGTTTTTTTGTTTTGTTACTTCGGTATTAGATATCGTGGTCTTGTGGACTTTGTTGCTGTTACATTGCCATGGTAACCGAGTTATTGATTGCAGCTTTTCTTGTCTGTTTGTTTTGCAATATGTTGGGACACTGCCCCGTTTATAATCTTGTTTATTTGTCGTTATAGTAATGTTTGCGATGATGGGTATGTTAGGACTAACAATTAGTGGAAGCATTTGCTTGTTTGGGATTGTGTATGTAGCATTCTTGATGTGGGAATTTGCCTTTGATTGGTGGTTTGTACTGTTGGCGGTCAAATATTTGCAAGTGTAAATGATCCCCATTGGGTATGATCTTGTACGTTTTACTGAACAATTATTTTTTAGGCATGTAATCCATGGCTTGCAATTCACTGTTTGAGTTTGTTGATTTGAATAATGTTTGCATGCAGCCTGGAATCACCGTGTTTTGTTTTATCTCTAAATGCTGTGCAGGGGGGATTCTCGTTCAGCAAGAATAGGAACGCTTGACGAAGTGCTTGCAGTAGTTATTTGGATTGATTCAGGACAGGTGTCTTTGGCGCTCGTCTATGTCAAATTTCTGTCTATATTCGAGGCTCCGTTGTCTCTAAAATCATTTTTGACGTTAGTTAACATGTGTGTTCTTCTGTCTGAAGCCTTCCGTTTGTGTTTGGCAAGTGTGAGTTATCGGGGCGTTCTTTTATATGGAAGAATTTTGCATGGTTTCGTCAGAATTTTAAAAAATTCCATGTGGTGTATCCTAACGTCTGCTGTTTTGTAACTTGTGGCGAGGAAGTGCTGTGTATGTTCTGATTCCTCGACACATTTTTTCAGCAATTGGCACAACGTGAGCCTTACTCCCTGTTTCGATGTCTAGATTGTTCCTTATTGGTCAGCTGTGTGCGAGGTTGCACTGGAAGAATCTGATTGTGCAACAACGCATTTGTCAGCAGCCGCTTACATCCTATTCCCAGTGCAGCAACTTTGGTATATTTTACGCGAAGTTCCACGCATAGTCCTCTAGATTGTAATGGTGAAAAAATATGAGTGTTTAATCACCTTCGGATGACCAGACGGTGCTGCATCGAGCGATATTTTTCAAATCGAAGTTCACCCCCGAAAAGTGGGAGTGCTACGCAAAGCTTGCTCTCGAGGGAAGTAGCTGAGTTTCTATGTCCCGCCACGTAAACTATGGTGTATGTTTATTTGTCGTGATGATGCTTCTCATATCGGAAATGTTCTGGTGGGCAGCGTCTCTAAAGATGTTAGCTACTAAGATTTGCCACTAACGTCCAAATGCCTTCTATGATATAGCCTCTGAAAGTCCTCAGAATCTTTCGACGAGCTAAATGAGCTAATAAGATTCTGAGCCTTGTAACAGAGAGCAGTTAGCTTTCTGTACGAACAGGACTACCATGCTTAAATTATTTAGTTCTATGGTTACAATGTTTGGAATTTGAACCAGACATCGACTCCTCCGAATATCACCAAATAATTTAATCAAACGGAAGAGAAACCACTATGGAGATGAATTACAAGGCTTCCGTTGCCTTTCTCCTGGAATTATCTATGCACCAAACATGGTTTGGTTTTCCAGCAGCTTTTGCTCATGTGAATAAAAAAAAGATACAGTTCTAGAGAAATGACATCATGTTGATCCTCGAATCGAATCACTTATATGACCGTAATATAGAAACTGTTTGGAGATTGCTAAGCCACTGCCAACATGGCTGCAGGAATTAAAACGGCAGGACAGAGGGACACAACACAAAGCCTTAGCTCTTCCACCAGCGAGCCATGAAAAGATCTTCCCGACTGAAAATTAGAAGGTGTGGAGTCGGATTATCGTGCGCAATCGTATTGTGCGGAAGGCAACAATTACGATTGCCAAGACGGGACACAGAGAGCGAAGCTCGTGGACACGGCGACGGAGCCGGACTCGCGACGTGGCACCGTTTGGCAGGACCCGCTTCCCCTCGATCCCGCCCACACAGTGGCTTGGGAACATGTTCTCTTCGTTCCCTTACTGCTCCCAAACTTCCCTGCTGGGGTTTACCGAGTTGCAGTGTTAAAAGTCCAGAAATTATATGTAAACCACATTCCCATGTGAATTATTTTCTATATAAAAAAAAAGAAAAATTAAATAATAAAGATTCCGTTCTATTGGAATTCTATCTCTTAGACCTTTTCTAATATCCTATTGCAATTTTGTTTGGTTATCTTTTGAGGCTTAAAGAATCATTTCTACTACTATTGATATACATAGATGTATTATAACAAGCGATTAATTTGCTAATTTGTTTAGGTTGTTCGTGGAAGTTTGATACAATATTGGTTTGTATGTTTTTGAAATAAAGGAGTCTTTTGTGCTTCATTTATCAGACATCGATGGTTGTAAATATTTGTGATTTGTTTTTGGAGTTGAACACTAATATTTAATTGTGGTAAAAGGAATGTATATATGTATATATATAAACAAAAAGAAAATTTTATATCATGAAATAATATGTTGATTATTTATAATTATAGTAATTTTATTGTAGATATTAATTCTTATTTAATAATATAATGATAACAATAATAGAAATAAAGTTTAATTATGTGTACATTCAAAGCAATGGAAGAGGAACCCTATTTAATTGTGAGGATGTCAGTTATAATAATGATTTTACATGAATGTAACGTTTCATTCTTTTCAGCAAAAAATCGGTACTAAACCAATATTAATATAGTAAAAAGGATAGATTACAAGTGCTTTACAGAAACTATAACAGTGAATTATGTGAACAAGCTGTCAGCATAAAAAATAAAAAAATACGAAAGATTATACACATTATTATTTTAATCTTAATCTTAATTTAATGCATTAAATTTTGTAGCACACTGACATATATTTCACATTATTATTATTATCATCAGTATTTTCCAAAAACATGCAATAAAGTAATATAATTTTAAGCATATATGGTCATTAATAAATTAGTGAGCATATTTTTACCCAGGTTTTACTTTGATTCATTTTATCTCATTTGAGCCTCCTTAATTCACTGAAACCTTAATATATATGAGCATATGAACAATAAAACCAATAAATAAACACTTGCACATGGGCTCCTAAAGAGGAAAGTAAGAAAGAAGACAGACAATTTCGATGACATATTATTATAACCTCAAGATCTGGTTTATTATGCTGATTAGTGGCTAAACAAGACAAAAGAAAAGCACAAGAGACAGATGAATCACGGGCGGTGTCCCAAATGACGGGATGGGCACGCGGCGGAGGCACCTCGCCCGTGCCCCGCACGCTCCTGCATACTCTTCACCACTTTCTCGTCCTGCTTGGCTTGCGTTGCCTTCGCGATGCCGTGCTTGCTGCTGCTGCAGCTCGCGATCTCGTGGCGTGGCGATCCAGTATGGTGCTCACAAAGAGAGACGTGGCCACTGTGTTCGATGACGGAAACGTCAGCCTCCAGTTCGCGAAGGGGCTGGCGGGCAGGAGGACGGGCAAGAGCATCGGGGAGACGACGATGCCTCGCCAATCAGGTGCGCTCCGTTTCACCTCCTCCGCCCTAGGGTTTCAGAATCGAGCCATTTGGGTGGAGATCGTTCTCTCACAGAGAGGATTGAGGCTGGGTGGTTCGCTGATGTCCTTCTCAAACCGCAATTGCCCTAGGGATTGGATGAATTGAGCTGTCCGCGGGAATTGTGTTACAGCTACAGAGTCTCTGAAAGCTTCGGAAAAAAAGATTATTGGGATCAGAGACGAGAGCTGGGCGTTGATCGTATCTCAGGCGACTTCGCCCATGGTGATCGTTACAGGGAACCTTGGTCCCGCTGGGAATTGATCGGAATTGGATGCTAGTGGTCTTAGTCTGGGGAGATCTGCATTTCCTCATCTTCGTGTTATATTGAGCGCTATCATTGCTGTGAAGAATTTCGTGTCTAGCTAGTTAAGTGTAAACGTGAGCAAAAATTGAGGAAGACTTATGAGCAGCTGATTCCTTGCTGGTCGTTTCGTAACTTTTGTGGGTGGAATCAAGTCATTCTTGAGTTCGAAATTGAGCTCTCCAATCGGGCAATAGTACAATTTTCAAGCACTCCGGAGAGGAGTAGAGCTAGGGTAGTTGAATTTGCTTGATTCTGTTGGATAATGTAAAGAAGCAACTCCAGATTAGTCAAGTCGACGGTAAGATACATCGTAGACTTAAAAGTAGAAAAAGAAGATTGCGGTACTGGACAGCGTAAGTGAAAAACGGTGAAAAACGGTGAGTTCAGTCGATAAAAAAAATTAGAAACTACCGCATGCGGTGAAATGTTAATCTTGTATATATAGCGATCAGAAATGAAGTATAAACTACGATCTTTAATGTAAATTTCCTTTGGATTCGTCAGTTTATTTACCTACAGCTAGACTAGTTATCCTTGCATGTTGTGTCTGGAACTCTGATACCATGATTTGTGAACCACAAAATGCGAGTATTGAGTTATCCGTGGTTGCAGACAGGAACCGGAAGTCCTCAAAGGGGACTATGTCGGAGGCTGATACGCAATCCAATTGTAACAGCAAATACATAACCCACGATTTGGGCTGGAAGTTAACAGCCGTAAAATGGGGTTTATCGCTGGCTATGTGTTTAGTCGTTGGATGTTATGGAGCCATTCTTGCAGCCTTTCCAGTAGAATCTTTCCAAAACATCAAAGAAACTATTTTCCAGAAGATGGTAGATACGCCATTTGGTTCAAAGGGTGGTAAGCTCTCGTTTGTTCCTTCTCTTCAATATCAACTAGACAGTGGTGAAGACGCATGGCTGCCTTACAAGTGGATTTCGATTCAATCTTCGTGCACATACAACATGCTTACGCTTACTAGTCAGCTAAACGCATGAAATGAACTTCTTATTTAGGATCAGAAGAGGGCATTGTGTCTCCAAGAAATCCTGGTTTTGGTGGTTCAGCTGAATTTTTTCAATATCTATCCTGACCTGTTCTGTAATGGAGATAACTAAAATGTAAAAAATAACTCGAACATGCTTCACAAGAATGTTCTGATATCATATTATCTCGTGGGTTGGTTCTTTTTAGGAGGCCTGCTTGTACTTTTCGCTTCACCACTGCTTGTGCTTACACTTTTGGCCATCATCAATCTGGAAGTCTCTTCCAGGATGGTAACCTTCAAGTAAAGTTCCTCGTTTCAAACTTTATTATAGAGTACAATATTAGTTACGGTTAAGATTGCCTACCAGTATTTGAGCTAGAATTTCCAGCGCAGGGATTTTGAAGATGTTGTCTTCTCAACCAATTCCGACACAACGTTGTCGACACAAACTTTGAGGGGATTGATCTATCTATTCTTTTGACTAAACGTGGGCGATGTGTGTGCATATGTAGCAGGGAGAAAGCGAAAGGAAGAGCAAGCTTACAAAAGCATCCACTTTTTATAGGAGGTTGGATGGGCATTGTTTCTGCTGCTGAGTTTCTCTGGATCCTTTTGTTTCTTGTCATGTTTACTTGGATCATGGGAAACTACTTGATTCGAGATTCCAGACATTTTGATGTGACGTCTTTGAAACCTGTCGAAACAGTGTAAGTCCTCCATTCCTCATACAAGGACCTCGTCGTTCAGTATATTGGTCGTTGTCCGTTTGATTTGTTTCTTTTTCTTTTGTTTTGGTTTTATTTTGGTTTTGTTTGTTTGTTTTGTTTTTTGCTTGCTTGCGTGCTTGTTTGTTTGTGTGTTTGTTTTTTTTGCAGTACCTTCTATGCCGTGGATTTCTGTTCACTTCTTCAGGATTACCTTGAAGATCAGTGAAAGCGTTAAAACGTTATGATCTAAATATTGATGGTTATCTTGACTTTGTTTAGACAGGTGGAGTAAGAAGTTGAAGCGTACTGCGTCACATCTTGGGTTCTTTGGACTCATATGTTTAAATTTTCTATTCTTACCTGTTTCTCGAGGATCTGTCCTTCTCCGGGCCTTAGATATTCCATTTGAGCATGCTGTCAAGTACCATATATGGTTGGGTTACTTCATGATGACATGTTTCACTCTGCACGGTCACTTCTACATCATTGCATGGTATTCCGAAGATTCTTTGAGCAAAGTATGTTCTCATGTCAACCGCATGCTTGTCAAAAGAGTTGGATTTATGGTTCAAAGCGTCATGATTGTTGAATTCACTTGAACCAGGCATGTTTCTTCACGGATTTTTGTATTCCGTCTTATACCAGTTGTTTATGCTGGTTTTTTGCAGATATTTAATTGGGCACCTCACAAAGTCGCAAACTTTGCAGGAGTTATAGCCTTGTTGGCTGGCATCACAATGTGGGTTACATCTATAAGTTGGGTTCGAAAGAGATACTTCGAGACTTTTTTTTGGGTTCACCACCTCTATATTGTATTCGTATTCTTCATGGCCTTCCATGTCGGAGGAGTTCTCTTCAACGTGGCATTTTGTGGAATATTTTTATTTGTCTTCGATCGTTTTCTACGCTTCTGCCAATCACGGGGCAATGTTGGGGTCCTCACAACCAAGTTGCTGGCTTGTGGAATCTTTGAACTAACATTAATCAAGCCCCCAGGTATTTTGAATATCTCTGCTTGTTCCTGGTATGCTTGTTGGTGTGTGGTAGCATATCCTCTTGACTGAGAGCAAATTTTGAAAATTTGGTGGTTTGATACTTGTACAATGCTCTAGAGAAGATAGTCTAATCTACACTTCAGCTATGGATATATGAGTTGTGGCTAGTGGAAGATATTTCATTTGGATTACGTTGAGATGGACATCAAGATCTTCATTGTGCAGGTATAAAACTTCACGCATTAAATTACATTTATCTCAATATTCCGGAAATCTCCAAATTAGAGTGGCACCCGTTTAGTGTGTCCTCTAGCCCATACGATGGTGACAACTGGCTGAAGGTGTTGATAAAACCTTCGTACGGAGGTTGGACACATCGATTACAAGGACTTGTCTCAGATGTTGTGAAACGGGGGCGGTGCCCTTCAAATATCAGCGCTGCTGTTGAAGGTCCTTATGGTCACGAGTCTGATTTCTTTCTCCAGTAAGTTGCAAAGGTGCTTCAAGACATTATTCATTGCTATTTACTTCATGTTATACAATAGCCTTCACCAATGGTTTGGATCGAAACATGTTTTTTTAGCAATTTGTCTCAATGATACTCTAATTGGTCTTACTTATTCTAGCAGTACAAGTCTCGTGTTCGTGGAACACGTACTAGAGTTGTTTATCCAGAGAAGATATTACAAAAGCTGCGTCGGCCTGAAAAGCACTTCGTCTTGGGCGCATGATTGAACTATGTCGAGTGAATCTGAAAAGGAAGAATAATTTGCCCTGCAGGTATGAGACGCTTGTACTGGTTGCGGGAGGAATTGGCATTTCTCCTTTTGTGGCTGTTTTGCGTGACTTGCTTCAGCGATATCAGCGGCAGCAATCCAATCTTCCATCGAATGTACACCTTATTTGGGCAGTACAAAAATCAGAGGAGCTTCAACTCCTTGATTTAATACCCGCATCTGCAATCTGTCCCGATTACCGACTGAAATTCAACCTTCAAATTCATGCCTTCGTGACACGCGAGAGTTCTCCTATTAGTTTAGAATGTAAACCTGAAGCACCTGCTTCGCATCTGGTAGACCAATTCAAGAAGTCTCGTATTTTAGCAAGTGTCAGCAATGCAGAAGCTTTTAACAAACCTATGTCAATGGTAGCGGGCACTGGGAGTAATCTCTGGATTACTTCATGTTTTCTTGCTTCATTACTAGGGTACATTGTTGTTTACTTCTCGATTTATTACTTTGTAGTGCAGCCATTTGAACAAGAGTCCGCTGGAGATGGGAAGCCTCGTGAAGGTTTACCCCGGTGGGTCAAGGGTCTGTTCAATGTCATCAGCCTGATATTGGGGGTAGCGATATTTGGAGGATTTGTAGCATCATTGTGGAATTACTTGGGTAGGCTGCATCAGGGTCTTTCAGAAATTGGCGACGAGAACTCTCGGCTTTTATCTATATCAAATACCGAAGACACAGTCTACGCGAATGAGAGTGCAGACTGCCTGGTGCACCCATCAAACACTCATTTTGGACAAAGGCCTAACTTAAGAGGTAAGTTATTGGTTCTACCTCTTATTCTGGAACTTGGTTTCTAAGATAAATGGTTGTTTTTTTTGTCGTACACTAATCCATATTATGTCAACTTTGTACGGATAGCTATATTGAAATTGCTGCATACTTATATTAATCAGAAGGCACGGTTCCAAAAACGACCGAAATAGATCAGATGATTCTCGAGACAGAACAGACAAACGTGGAACGTTGTCTTTGGTTGTTTGTGTGGCCGCATCGCTGTGTTCCCTGATTTGTGAAAGGTGTTGGAATCCCTTTGCAGAAATTTTTGATGGTTGTGCAAAGTCGCAACAACCTGGTGCAAACATTGGAGTCTTAGTTTGCGGTCCTGAAAGTCTCCAGATCAGTGTCGCTGAAACATGCAGAGCTTTCAACAATATTGACTACGATTTGCACAAAGTGGCCTTCAGCTACCATTCTCTTAGCTTTGATCTGTAAGTTCCCCTTTGTATGTATATGCTGAACACACATTTTTACAGTAGGCTCAGAAGTTCACATGTCTTCACCAGACGTGGTCGCCACAATTGACACTTCAATTTTTCTTCCACCCTTAGAAAGTATGAAGCTGACTGTGATTTGGAGAATTAGGTGAATGACCTATCTAGGTGTAAGATGTGAAGCTTAGGTTTTGTATGATCTGTTGCTGAAGAATAATGTAAATGCAAGCTGTTGATTGGATCAGAGTTGTCAGGCTACTATTATTGTTTCTTATTAGTGTTTTTAAGTGGAAGACATGGAGTGATTTTTTGGTGTGCTTATTTATAATAGTAGTCCAAGCGTGACAAGGGTGATGAGCTCAAGTGAAGGTATATTATCTCAAAGTTATAGTATATGTAAAATAATTAAACATGTGGAGTTTGATAATTCCTCTGGTAAGATTGGCGTTTTAATTTGGATTATATATATATATATATATATACATATGTTACGAGACATTTATGTTACATGTGCAAGACTCTTTGGCACTTGTTTTTATGAAGTGTAAAAATAAATTTGTAGCAAATGATTTTGCTTTTTTGCTGGGGGTTTCTTAAGCTTTGAAGAGTAGCAAGCGGATGGTTGGAAACAGGGAGTGAAGAGAAAAGAGAAAATCCTTCGCCAAAACTAGACCTTAGGGATGATAATTAGTCAAATGCCTCACAAGATATTCATGGTTATAACACAATATTCAAGGTTTGACTTAGATGTAATTTTTCCAAAATATATGATAATACTAGATATAGTGAATATTGTATTATAATCACAAATACTTCATGAGATATGACCAATGAAAAATATATAATTTATAAATAAATAAAATTGTATGTTTTCAACACTTGTAATTAAATAAATATTCTAAAGTGATTTATCTTATTTGTTGTTGATGTTTTTATGTTTTATTGGATAGCAAAGATTAAACATATTTTAAAATAATATTAAAGATAATTAAAATATCTATAATTCAACTTTAAACTTTTATTATTTTAAAAACTTTTTGAATGTAATACATTGTAATTATTCATGCCTTTCATTGAATGCTGATTTTTAACAATCTCTATAAATAATCCCGTAATATAGTATAATTATTAATTGATAAGAAATTGTATAAATAATTACTTTAATTGCATATAACCATTTATGAATATTTTAATGCCATGAACCACTTATTTATCAAGACCAATATTTTAGAAGCCATATTTAAATATTTGTATTAATTAATAATTGATATTAAAACAAAATACTTGATTACAACAAATGTTTTGGTTTTAGCTTTGGTATGTAAATAAGATAATTCAAATTTTATCTACTTATTTAAAATATTCTTTTAAATATCTCTTTAATAATTTGTGAATTCCACCAACGTTATTTAATTGGTGAAATTATTAATAACCAAGTTTTAAGATTGTTTGGATATAAAAAAGAAATAAAGATTAAAAATCTTATTTGATTATCCAAATATTGTTTTAGGATTTAGAAGAGGTCTAATAAATTAAAAGAGTCTTGTTAAGCAAAAGATATAAAAAATGAACTTTTAATAAGTCTTAGAAATAATTATCTTAATTATTTTAGTATTTTTTCTTAAATATGATAATTTGTGTTTAGTTTCAAGATCAATGACTTATATGATATTCTACTCATATGTAATTCTTATTAAAATCTTATTAACTTTAGTTAATAAATAAAAGAAGCATGAGAAAGAAACTCCATGATTTTTTTGTAATTTTTATAAAAATTAGGATTTTTTTATTGATTTGAATAAATTTATTGCTATAAAATCTCCAAGAGGAGAAAAAATTAGCTTAAAGATAATATTAGCATCTTAAAACTATTATTGGGATTTTTAGAATTTATTTAGAATTTATTTAAGAATTTTTAGGACATATTTTAAAGACTTTGGTAATTTTTTTTTCCACTCTAGGTATTGACATAAATCATAAAAAAATTAAAAAAAATTAAAATACACTCTTATATTTTCAAAAGAGAGAAAGTAGACAACTAAAAGATAGATATAGAATTGAACTAGAATATCTATAGCCAAATATAAAATGACTATGAAGTCTTAGACCAATGTACAACTCAAAAAAGATATTGGCAATAGTGAAAATGGCCTCACTCTTGTCTCTATACATATTAGCTATTAAAGAAATACATGATAATGTCCTATGGGCCATATGACGCATGTCTAATTTGCAAGACAAGTTTCCAACATGTGCACCACATAGCCAATTTGTAATACAAGTGGCTTAATGTACGACATATGGCCAACTTGTTAGCTAAGTTGTCAACTTACAAATCACTTGTAAACACATGTTAAGTTTACGAAGCTTTTGGAAAGCTTCTTAATAAGATGTCTATAATTCAATCTATTTCTATTTATTTCTATCTTGTTTTATTTATCTAAGTAAATATATTAGTGAATATGGCTATTTATTATGTTATCCTCTATTCTTGCCAATAAGTTCTATAAGGAATTATGTCAATGTTTAATAAGCTGTTGAAGTCTAAAATTAATTGAATAGTATTAGCAAGAAATTTTAATATTTACAGTGTACAAAGATAGTTTGATAGGTTTTTTTATCCATTGATAATACCCTATAACACATAAAATAGACCATCAAGTTATTTGATCATTATTGAGGCTTTTAACTTATTTGATCATTATTATGATTTCCATGTGTATATCTTCATATCATATTTGAGCCAAGATATGAAATGTTCTAATTTTTTTGGCATCACCTTGAATCCAAGACCTCCTCTATTTCAAACTCTTTGTTGTTATCTATTCTAATAGAAGATGGTGGTGACTACTTTCTTCTTAATATGTTGATTGTTGTTTAAGGCTTGATAAAAGATATATAAAATACACAATATATCCTTATTGGTAGTGGTAATGGCTATTGATATGCCACTAAAATAGTTTATTTCTTGATAATAAATAAATCAAGTCTTTAATAATCCAACGTGTCACAAGGTTGATTAGTCTTGATATTACAACAAAGTAATTATACTTTATCACCAACTTTAAATAAAAATTATTCTTTCTAAAAACATTTATACATTTTTTTTTTTATTGTTCTTGTAGCTCTTAAAATTTTATCTTTATTATTTTGTAAATTTCTATTATTATAATTACTAAATCCTTTCATTTTGGATTTTTAATTTTAAAAAAACTAAAATTATCAAATTATAGATAATAACTATGATTGGAAAAAAATGGAGTAAATTGAGTAGAAGAATGTATCCTATTATTATACAAAATTTTACTAACGGCAAGAAAATTATCCAATTGTCTTAGTAAAAATTGATGATGTATTGCAAATATTGTTTTAATACTTGATTCAAACATTTTATTTGTCTATCAATTTAAGGATGAAAAATTAATGACAACTTGATATCAACTTGTAATAAATTATAGATTATAATCCAAAATCTTGATATGAATTATGGCTTGTAATCAAATATATTTTTTATTAAAATTCTATGATATTAATAAAAATTATCTAAAACGAATTTAATTATTTTTAAATTCATAATAGTTTTTTAAAATAATTTAAAATAATTAAATATATTAATTAAAAAAATTCACCATTAAAAAGATGGAATTATAAAAATTTTAAATTAAATATTTGTAATAAAATCTAATGAAACAAATGACTAAGGTTTCTTTAAATAAAAAAGTATTAAAGAAGGTCAATGAGATAGTATCTTTGTTCTAGAACAAGTATTGTATGAATGAACAAATGTTTTTACTTCATTTATCATTTGACGCCATTAAGAACCTCTTGAAATAAGTTCTAATATTTTATTATATTGAAAAATTTTATTGCCAAAAAATCATGTTGTGCTTGTAATGCATGTAATTTTATTTTAGCTTTAAAAATATATAAACATATTTTTAAATAAAAGATGTTATCTTTGAATTTAATTTTTTGAAAGCCATTATAAAGATTATTTTTAATATCAAAAACCATTATGGACATACATATTTATTCTAAAAATTATATATATATATATATATATATATTATGAATAAATATAAATAGATAAGAATAAATAAATTTCATAATATCTTGTAGAAATGCTTCCTTAAAGCTTCATAGACGTGATTTTATCTTTATACATGTCTATAGGTGATTGGTAGGTTGAAAATTTGGCCAATAATTTAGCCATGTATTGCACATGCTGGTGGCTTATAATTCAAGCTAATCATATGGCACATATATATAAAACTTCTAATGCAAGTTAGATACATGTCATGCTAGTTGAATACATATTGGAGGTCTTATTGAACATTGCCACATAGTTCTTAGTTAGATAGTATATATAGAAGTAAGAATGGGGCCTTCCTCACCGTTATCAATTCTTTTCTTATTTCAAATCTAGTTTTGAGAATCTTTAGATTTTTAGTCTTTAGCAATAGCCATTTCAATTTCTTCTTGAATATACATACTTTTTTATTTTTATTTTGTTAATTCTCTATAGTAAATATTTTACTTATTTATGTATCTTCTTTGAGATCTTTTCTTTGAATGTTTGATAAGAATACATTTATAATATGAAAGCTTTGCCTTTTTATAAAAATTAAGAGTGGATTATTATTTTTTCTTGATAAGACATAAGCATATTAGAAATTGTAAATTATCCACTTTTAAATTGATATCTTTGTAGTATTTTCTTTATTATTAAATTATCTCTTTTACTATCAAGGACATGAATTTCAAATAAAGAAAATCCTCAACATACTCTTGTATCACTAAAAAGAACTAGAAAGTCATTGAAAGATGATATAATATTGAACTAGAATAGTTATTGCCAAAAAGAAGAAGACTAAAAAGTCTTGAAAGAAGACTAAGGACTAGAAAGGCATTGACAAGAATGAAGAAGGCTTTATTCTTGCCTCTATATATACTCTTAACTAGGAGTTATATAGCAATGTCCTAAAGGTCCTCCAAAATATGTTGACTTTACAAGACACATATCTTAATTTGCAAGGCAAGTTTTTTATATGTGCATCACATAGTTAACTTATTCCACAAGCTACCAATATACAGTTAATTTGTTGACGAGGTTTTTGACCTACCAATCAATTACAAACACATATAAAGTTAAGCAGCATCTATGAAGCTTTTAGGAAGCTTTTCTAAAAGGTCTTATGAAATTAACTTACTTTTATCTACTTTTATCTATTCCTACCTAATCATAT